TTCTCATAGAAGGTCTAATTTATTGGGGGTTGATTTACTAAGGGTAAATAGACTGTTTACTTTGTAAGGACGTTTTCCCTTATCTTAGCGAATGCGGTGAAGCTCTTCTGACTTCCATCATTCAATCGTGTGCAAGCAAAAATCAGTTTTAATTTTCCATGCATGTGATTGGGTATTCTTTGCAAAGTGGATTTTCACCACCACGTAAAATTCCCTTGAAAAATTAACAGTTTATGTGCCTTTAGTAAATCAACCCCAGCGCCTCACTTTCACTGTTTGCATTCCTTTACAGATTACAGGCCAGATTACAGGTTACAGGCCAAGATGGCAAGGACTATAAATAATATGAAGGAGTCTGTCAACAGGGCCTCATCCATCTCTGTTTTATTGTAATAGCTGCAAAATAGATTTCAGTCACATCTCCTCCCTTAGACTACTTTTACCTGGTTGAACTCTCTGCCTATTGTTAATTGAGGTCTTATACAAACATGGTAAAAAGCATGTACTTACTTTATATAGCCACCCATTCACCCACCAAAGCACAAAAAAAAAGATTGATAAAAATTGTTTTTTTTTGCCCTTTTACCCATATTTCATGTCAGTGCAAACAGAGAATGAAGCAGAACCTGCAACAGAGCAATACAGTACATAACTTAGGCATTGCTACTGTGTACTTACAAACAGCACCAAAAAGAAGCTCTAAAACTAGCTCAAAGAGCTTAAACAGTCCATTCATGTTCACTAATGAGCAAAAACATTATTTAAATTTTTTGTGGGTCTTAAATAGAAATAGGGTGTTGCATCCGAGGTACTCAAAATGTAACTGGCGGACCACCACTTGCTTATCATAAAAAACAAGGTTGCACAAAACCAACAAGATTTGATTCCGAAACACAAATGGTTAACTAAAAAGCAACTTTAGAAAAGAACAAATAGAGCTGTGGACAGTAGTAGCCAATCAGCCTATAAGCATTAGATGATGGTCTTCTGATCTGGCTTTTTTTGCCCAGATTGGGTGACGACCAAATGCCTATAGGACAGTGAGTGAAGGCCTAGAATAGGTCATCTTGAGGAACAAAGTATTTTCCATATGTTATTGTTTTCCTTGGGGCAGGAGTGTCTGCACATGGCTCTGCTCCACTCTGCCATTGTCCTTAAGAGGATTGCTGGTGGGCCTAGAGTGCTCCAGTTTGAGGGAAAAACTGGCCACAAAGATATAAGATGACTGAATAAGACATGGATTTCCAACTGTCCTCAAATGTCTGTGGCTGTCTTTAGTTTATGTGGTTTTAATAGTTAATAAAATCAGATGGCTATTGCGTTTCACAGTGACAAGCACTGCTTCTTCAGGAATTGTGGAGGAGATTCTTAAATCACATGGAATACATGAATATTAGCCCTATATATCCCATATACAATTCTTAGTACAAATGTTATTACAAAGTTATTTGTATATACCTAAATATCCCAAATGTACCTAAATATCCCAAATGTCTTAAACTCCAAGATTCTCCCTTAAGACTGTTCATCTTTTTTATAGAATGCAGCCCCATTTTTGATATATAGGTTTCACTTCTGCTATTGTAAAAATTTAAATTTTCTTTCTTGCTGACAATGCTCACCACTTTAAAGGACAATGCTCACCACTTTAAATGAAAGAGTGAAGCTATTTAGTGGTCATATACAACAATAAAAACCTGACAGATGATTGTATATTTCTTTACTCTATCAAAAACTATAAAAAAAAAATATTATGGCTCTACATACATTTTAAGCTCACATCATGTGACCGGAAAGCTATTATTCTCTATGGACAGACCTGACATATGCAACATGTATAAGTTCAGCAGGATTCCTAGCCCTGGCCAGCGAAAATCTATATCTGTAGGGCTCTTCCATAATGTTATGCAATGGGTGCAGTGGATTCTGAAGGAAAAATACAGGGATATTTTTCACATAAAATCAACTATAAAATGAATCGGCCCGTTTAGCCAACATTTCTACTTTTGCATGCTTCAGTTTTAACGACCTCGCTTTGTACTAAAATCATAAAAGCAGGAAATTTGACAGAAGTATGATTGATCCATTTGTACAATATTACACACATTTCCTGGAGGTAACTATCAAATTTCACCTTATAGCATTAGATTTTTCTATCAGCACTACAATAAATTCCTGATATCATCATACACTTTCAGCACTTTTTTAGCTTATCTCCCATTTAAAGAAATATTTCATAGTCTACTTTCTAGTTACTTTGCATCTGGATATTAGTAACTTAATCTGTGAGAAAGCTAAGTTATCGGTCTGCTCCTTCTCTGTAATAGTGTGGCAGGTTGTCTGGTGAATTTACAGCGAATTTGCTTATTTGCCACGTCGAGTGCTGTAACAAAAATGCATTTATTTTACAATACATTTTATAATTCTATATAATTTTAAAGATGTTCTAATTTAAAAAATATATATATCTAACTTCACAGTTAGAGCGGTTAAGGTCTGGAACTCGCTGCCGCAGGAAGTGATAGCAGTTAAGAGTGTGGAATCATTCAAGAAACTCTTGGATGCGTTCCTCATAGACCATAACATATAGGGGTACAGGTACGCCTAAGAGCAAAATCGCACATGGACTAAAACACACGCACACACCTGCTCAAACATAAATGCACACACACAATAGGTTGGACTTGATGGACTTATGTCTTTATTCAACCTCAAATACTATGTAACTATGTATAAAATTTAAATCTGTTAAAGGAGACTTGCATTTTCTTGCTGTTTCAGCTGTTATTTTCCATATTCGTCGACTCTCATTTTTGCTGCAAATAACAGTTGTTTTGGCAGATAAATGTAATTATAGCTTGGGGAATTGAGCCTATTGTCTCTACTCTTAGAACAATGACTTACATGACCAAGTGAGATAACCAGAATATATTTGTACACTGGGTGATTAAAGCAACTGTTTGCCCATAAGCATTAGTTGGTAGTCTCCTGATCTGGCTTTTTGGGTGACGACCAAATGCCTATAGACCAACTGCTCATTAAGCCCCCTTAAAAATGACACCTTTTCGTAATATCCCCTTTAAGAGTTTTCAGTAGCCTATGCCTTACTTCATTTCCTGCATCACTTCAGTTATATAGTCTTTCATGAAAAATACTGGTAACTACTGCTGCACTTAAAAAAAAAACCTATTAAACATTATATTCGTTTACTGGAGTTATAGCTCTGACTGTCATTCCCTTCTAATGTTTTGCAAATTGCATCTTGAAAGCAATATCCCATTGATTACTACTGTACCCTAAAAATAGTAATAAACTCTCAAACATTTTTCAACAACGAATACAGATCAAGCAAATATACATTGCTCAGCAAAGCATTTCCTAAAATTTCCTAAAAAACTTACAGTCATCATGTTTCCAAACAGCTCCAACTCTCAGCTTGGCTTCCCTGAACTTCCGGTTGAATAGAAGCTCACAAGCAGATGGACAGAGCAGCAGCTCTCCATCTACTAGACTGGAGAAGAGAGGAGAGCAGGGGGAGGGGAGTGTCTTGCTTTGTTGTTCCTGTGTATTTGTGGAGACACACACAGCTTACTAGCACAAACAAGGGTAGCTCCATAGGACCCTGCAAGGAAAAGGCACCGCCCCAAACCAGGAAATTAGGGCCAGTGCATAACTAGGAAGATTCGATCTCTATTTTTCCTGATGACCATTGTCTCTGAAACAGAAAGTAAGGGGTAAATCCAAAAGTTTGAATGTTTGAGTCACCAGAAAGGGAATAGAGGTAAGATTTCCCAATTAGGACAATTTAAGTATGTTTAGTGTGTTTTGAGACATTTCCTCGCACTTCCTATTGTGTTTGCAGAACAGAAAGTGCAGTGAAAGTGTATGTATAGCCAAACCTATTTTGTTTTTTGTTTGACAGAGGGTCTAACCCAGGTGTGGGCTTTAGCTACAAATCCCAACATGCCTCTGCCTCTGAGAGTCATGCCTGTAACTGTTAGTTTTGTATTGTCTCATGAGACATGTAGTTTCACAACACCTGGAGGGCCGGAATTGCCCACCCCTGGTATAACCCTGTCCCTCTCTATCCAAAACTTTAAAACAAAAATTACCTAGCAATACTTCTTAAATCTGCCAGTGGATTTAATTATTCCATACTCTACTAACACAATGAAAAAGAGTTTGACAGAAATTAGGGCTGTACCGATACTGATACTAGTATGGGTATCGGTGCCGATACCGAGAATTTGGGGCGAGTGCTCGTACCTGCCCAAATGCTCCCAATTAGGGCTGTTACTGATTCGAATTTTCGTGTACTCCCAATGCCTAGCCCAATACCGAAATTACACATTGCCCAGTTCCCTGATTTGCCTGGAAGCCTGCTCCATGCTCCCTCGTCACCAGTGAGCATGGAGCTGGCTTCCCGCCTGATCAGGAAGCCGGGGCGGGTAATGACGCTCCCCCCAGCTTCCTGATTGGCTGGGAAGCCGGCTCAATGCTCTCTCATCACCAAGTGATGTGGAGCATAGAGCCAGTTTTCCGGCCAATCAGGAAGCCAGGCAGCGTGTAATGATACGCTGCCCAGCTTCCTGATTGGTCGGGAAGCTGGCCAATCAGGAAACCGAGCAGTGAGTCATTACCCGCCCCCGGCTTCCTGATTGGCCAGAAATCCGACTTCATGCTAAGATGACGTGGGAGCTGGCAGACGACTTCCCTGCTAATCGGTAAGCCGGGCGGCAAGTCATTACACACTGCCCGGCTTCCTTAATGGGACCTCTGGTATCAATATTCGGTATTGGTGAGTACCGCAGAAAAAATATCCGTACTTGATACCGAAAAACCGGTATCAGTGCATCCCTAACAAAAATATTTACCTATCCTAAATTATTGGATTGTACGTTCAGATAATTTTTCAGACTTGCGTAACATCACACTGTCAGTTCCAGTGAAATATTTATTTTGTCTTTTTTCACAGAAAAATCCACAATCCCCTCTCCCCCACACCCGAATTCACTGATGGATATTACAAGAACAGGTTTTCTTTTATGAGATCACATGGAAACTGAAAAGGACAGTTACTCTCAGCTAGAAGAAGAGATGGTGAACTTGCAAACAGGTAACAAGAAAACATGACCTGCTCGTGCCATGATACCATTTCCCTTATGAATTGTACATAATACTGTATGACTTCCAGATTGGAGTGTTCACTTGGTAAGTGCACTTGTAAGACAAAGTACACATATTCTTTTTGCCTCCATCCCCTGGCCTAAATGATCCCACCCTCGCCCTCTGAAAATGTATACCTACCAAGATTTAAGGGCTGCTGCTCCCTTGTTTGGGGCCATCTACTGCGCAAATCTTCTTCTACTGGCCATATTCATCTCCTGAATGAAAGATAGCCCCATAGATGTCTATGGGGGTGTAATGTGCAGGTGTGGCCAGCAGAGGGAGCATTGCTGCACCAGGTGTAAACAACTGTTACTGTTGGATCCCTGCAAGTACAGATGTGTGCAAAGGGGGATAGGATTGTTTTGGTCAGGGATTGGGAAGGGGGGGCTGCAGAAAGGATAAATGCACTTTGTTGTAAAATGCACTCATTATTTAACTGCCACCAAGCAGATTCATATGTTTGTCTCCCAACTGTCTGCATTATAGACCTGTTCTTATTCTAGAGAGAAAATACTTGAGACCACTCATCTCTAAAATAAATTTTTACATATTTAATGCGATACTAACAACATTCGTAAATGTGTGGTGGTGATGACTAAAGCTGGCCATACACTGGTAGATTTTTGAAAGAATGTTTGTATGTAAGATCTCTCGTTACCACCCGATGAATCTATCAGACGCTTAAAAAAAGTTAATCAAAATTATGTTTGATTTTAATGTTCGACTTTGGGAAAAAAAAGGTGTCTCCACATTCACTGTTAGATGTCCGTTCGTTGGAGAAAAAGTTTCCATCCTGCTCCTTCTACTTTTTCCATCAATTTGACCCCATTAACTATTGGAAAGTTTAAAGAAAGTTCTTTTGTACGAAAGTTCCTTTAAAAACCTAAGCAGTGTATGTCCAGCTTAAATTAGTCAGTTTGTGCTGTCATTGCAAAGGTGTCTTTATTTGAAACATCCACTCGGTTTAAAGTAGATCTAACCTCTAACTGGAAGATATTTTTTCATGAAATACATTTTCACTTCTCTTAGTGCTGCTGATCTCCTCCAGCTTCTTTCAGCCTCAGCTGCACATCATTGCTTTTGACCAACTTCTTGATAATGACAACTGTGGACCCTGCCTGTGCCATTTGTGCAAGCACGGCTGATTGTTGTCTCCACCAGGGCATATGCAACAGGGTGACAATGGAGTAGCACAATTTGGAGACAGTTGTCCCATAACAGGCAGTACAGATTTAAAAAGTTTGAAAAGGCTGCTCATTCATTGATGAAGTTTACACAGCCCTGCCACATGGCGCAGCCCTCTTACCAGCATACTCATTGTTAACACAAGAGAGCTGCAGCACCATTTATTAGCTCTTTGTACTGCTTTTCCTTCTCTTAGTCTGAGCTCTGCTGTGACTTTCAGGTGGAGTTGTGTTATTTTAGCTTTCATTTTAGACTTGACAGATTTGACAGTTTCAGTGTTTTATCAGTGCGATTACTGGACAAGAAGGGAGCTGTATCCTGGATAATATTGATCGCCACTATATGAAATATTCACATATTTGTTCATCAATAATATTTTTTTTTTCTTATATAAACCAACGTGTAATTTAGGTTTAAGAGGTAACTCTTAAAATAGGTTGCTTTAATTCAGAAAGTACATCCTTTACTAGTCCTAACACCTTACCGTATTTATATATCCTACAACTTACAAACGCTGTTCTAGCCAGCAAAGTGTTGTAATTATATTTAAAAAATTACAGAGGAGTACAAGGCAATAAATCACCGTGATCATAAGAGTTAAATCTGCATTATAATAAGGCCCCACCTAAGGCTTGTCCTTCATTTATCCTCGTACTTTGTCCCTTCAGGTTCTGATCATTCTCTTTATAGTTGTCTATGAGATCTGAATTTAGCTTAGCTACCAAAGCCAACAAAGGGTGTTCATCATATATCTTACTGCATAGCCAGTTTTATGTACTTTCAATCAAGCACTTCAAAAGGCTTGGCTGGAGTCCATAGATAAATATCATTTAGGTTTAAATCTGATAAGTTTACACCTCACAAGTTAAAAACGTTACTGTCATTACCGACAGGTGAAAGCAGCAACATTTACAAGCAACGCTGTCTACATTTGGTTTCTCCACTTGGGTGCAGTGTAGCAGGGTTCATTTCTCAGCTGTGTCCTCACAGTGTCCAAGGGGGCAATCTTCTACCAACCCAAAGCTGAGCATGCATCTGCTATTAATGATCCAAATTATTTCTCCATATATTCCTACAGAGACACAATAGGAAGTTAGTGGATACCTGCCAAATTGAGGGGAATTCTGAGCTTAGACAGTTAGTCCCGGAACAGGTTCCCCCGTTAGAAGATTTCCCCTCACCTCTTTTTCTGCAGACAACTCTAACATTTTGGATTTCCCCTAATTTCCTGTGTCAGTGACAATGGTCAGCAGTACAATTAGAGTGAATCTTTCCAATGGGGATTCAGAAAGCAATACAAACTTGACTGATGTTCTATCCCTACCCCACTCTATACAAAGCTAAAAAAAAAAAGGTTTTGCCTAGAGATACACTTTAAGCAAAAATAAATAACCCGTTGCAAACGAATTAGGGTCCATTTGTCGGATAACCTAGTCTAAGAGATCATACATCGTCGCAGACATATCCTGGGTCTGTTGTTGTAATGTGCACTGGCATTTGTATGATATAGTGGTGAAGGGTATTACATAAACAGTGTGCAAGGTAGTTTATTTGGGCAAAAATGTGCATGTTTTTCAATGATGACCTACGCTGTGAAGGACCTTTTTTAAATAATGTTTTTTACACTTTGCATTTTTCTAAAACAAAGGTATATGAAGATAAAATCACATCTAAACCAGTTTCAAGATCCTGTAGAACTTCCAGAAATGATAACGTACCTGTGTGGATTCCACAATATCCCACCATATAGGTTTATAAATTTTTTAATATACAATAAACAATAATAAAACAAAATGATATAAAACAATAGAACAAATAAAAACTATTCTCCTGTATTTCATAATAAAAATGGTCCTTTAAAAATTAAAAAGAAAAACAAATAAGGAAATTCCCTTGACTTGCTTGCCTATTTCAGATGAACTATTCAGTATATGGATATTGTATGGGCAGTGGCAACACCATTCACACTTGCAAGGCACAACATTGCACATTGTGTTTATGTGCGTTTGACACACATCACTCATAGGGCAGCCTATTCATTTCAACGGGCTGCCCTACGTGTGACAAATGTGACAAAGAAGCTCTCTTTGAGCTTCACACTTTTTTAACCACACGTTTTCATACATTTCTCCATGTAAAAACCCATGTGTCTTGCTTGTGTTTGGTGTGACATTAACAATGAATGGCACCAAAAGAGAAAACTACATTAAAGTCCCTATGCATACTAGTGTAGCTTGTGAACATGCGCAAAATCACACAATGGTGTGCGTTTTCACACACTACACTAGTGTGCAAGGGGGCTCAAGTGTACTGTGCCTCTTAAAGTGCACCTGTGCCTAGGCTATGGGCATTCAATCATTTTTATATCCCTAACAAGCAGTTAAAATAGCTTTAAAACAACCCATCTATGACCTCTTTAGCGGGACATCCTAAAACATTTAATGTGAAAATGGCTTAATGTAGCTTAATGTACCATAATGTGCCTAAACCTCAATCAATTGCCTTAAAACTTTGCACAACCCAAGTTCTCAGCTTCCCAAACCTATCCTGGAAGTTTCATGGATTCTGGTTACCCACAAGGCAAATGAGTGACATTAAGCTTGTTTTTTGGGGAGCTTAATGTGGCTTAACGTACAAAAAATGACTTAGATGTTAATCGTTTTCCCCCAAACTTCCCATACTACAAGACTCTCTCTATGCCAACATATTCTGAAGATTTTGAGTCATTTGATAAAACATACCAAAAGGTATTCACATTTAACTATTTTATTACAATTCTAAAACATTTAATGTGAACAGCTTAATGTAAAAAGAGCTTAAGATTGTATGCAAACAGCCAAATTGTATCCTCACAGTATTTGCAATGCACCAGCCACAAGCAGTGAATTTGGTGAGAGTTTTGTTTTCTATGGAGTTATTATTAGTGTTTGTGACTTCCTGTCACGGTGATCTCTTTTCATTTATTTTCCTGCTGTCATGGTAAGCAAAGTGAATTCTGATAAAAACTTAATGTAAGTGTTTATTTCTTCTATGACTATCTAAAACAAAAACAATTGGGTTTTCATTGTTATCAATAGGGAGCATTATTGTTAAGAACTCATTTTGGTGCTCAGGTGTTAAGGATGGGGTTTAGTGATGGTTTAATTTGGAGGGCTTACTTTAAGGGTTGAGTCTCGGGGGGGGGGAAATCCTATCCTACTGTCATTCTGATGCTTAGCACCAGCACATGGAAACTATCCATGTTCCCACTGCTGAAGTAAATGTATCATGCCGCAGGGTTCAACTTACTATGAAATACAGTTTTCATTTAGGTCAGGGAAGTTGCATTCAATCCCTTTTTTTAAATTAGTCTGCACATTATTAGGTATTCAAAGTGAACACAAAAATATTACTCCTGAATCGCCCAGGTTGCATGCCAGCTACTGAGCTGTCTCTTCCACTATGAGAATTAGAGGAAACAGTATAGCATTGTACAATATGTATCCATGCATTCTTTCTTTGTTGAGCATATCAGGAATAGACACATTTTTGAGCAGGGGGGCTTTTGAGGTTGTAGATTTAGCTTCCTCACAGAATAGGCAGTGCTGCTTCAGGTAACAAAAAGAGACAAAACTACCCTAGAAATACAAAAAAGCTTCTGGTAGATGCTATCATTCAAATCCCCTCGCCAAAGCCATGTTCTGATTCCTGAAGTCATGGCCGTTAATCTAAGCCACTCCTCGATCCTTTATGTCACAATCTGGGCAGGTCTAACATCAAGCA